CTCTTTTTGGCACCACTAGGTGGCGAGCTATGCTTTTTTTAGGCCAAGAGTGCTGTGACTTGCCTAAAGTCACCCAGCTAGCTTCAAGTGGGGAAGTGGGGAATCGAACCCAGTTCTCCAGATTACAGTCCGTTGCTTTTAACTGCTGCACCAAACTAGCTCACACAGGCCCAAAACAAGATCTAGAAATGTGTGCAGTGCAGAGGTCAATTCAGGGGGGATCGCGGGGGATCGCAGTTCCCCCGGGTGAGGTGCGGGGCACACAATGAAGCCCCACCCCCTGCTTCCGGCCGCCCCACTTCCAGCCCTCATTCAGCCAGGAGGAGGCAGGAGAAGAGGGAGGGTAAGTTGCTTCCTCCCCGCCACTCCCCTCCCCTGCCTGCCTAGGGCCAGGGAGGGCCTTGGCGGGGCTTCCTCGCACTCCCGCCGGTGTGGCATATGCTAATGAGTTATGCTAATGAGTTCCCCTAGCTCTTTTTCTACGAAACTACCCCTGGTGCAGTGCCAATAACTCTGTAGTCAGATAGGCATGTGGGTCAGTGGAGAGGGAGAGAGAGACAGAGAAAGATCGAGATCTTTTAATTAAAACAGAGTAAAAAGGAACTGAAATGTAATCTTCTACATATTTCTCAAGTGAAGTGTTAAATACTGAGAACCTAACACTAGTGAAAGGTTACATGAGAGCCCAAGATGATAATAACTAGGGAGGCTGGATCCATACTTCAAAAAGAAGCGTGGGGAGGTAAAGGACATAGGTGCATTGCTGGTGGCAATGTGTGAAAATTTAAAAAATTCTGGGAGTCAGTATTGGATGAGGTGTACTTAATTGCTGGTTATGTTGTGTCCTTGACACCCGAAAGACTGTTTTTAAATCATCGGCAAGATGATTCAGTCCCACAAATTAGGAAAAAAACTAATTGCCATCCTTTTAATAGCAGCCAAAACGGCAATAGCCACTACCTGGAGATGTTTAGATGGACCTAGACTGATTTCCCACAAGCCGCTGCTCCGCCCTCGCTCTTCCCTTTACCCCGATCGTATGTGTCAATTTCCCACTATTTGCTGCACGGCTGCATTTTGCCCCGCAACTTCGCCCAAGTTCCCCCGCGTCTACTCGATCCTCAAAAAACAGGATCAAGTAGACGCGGGAGAAATTGGGCGAAGCTGCGGGGCAAAATGCTGCCGTGCAGCAAATAGTGGGAAATTTACACATACGATCGGGGTAAAGGGAAGAGCGAGGGCAGAGCAGCGACTTGTGGGAAATTGGTCCTACACTTACGTGATGGCACCGTAAGGTATGAGAAATGTATATAATGGACAAAATCACTTATCAGGCTAATCAATATGAATCCCACCTGCCTTGTTCTGCTTTTGTTGAAGTTCGGTCCATTACATTAGATTACTTGTTGCACCTTGAAGTGGTTCTGAAGAACTTAAAATCTTTAATTTTAATATAATATTTGCATTGAATATAATTTATATGATGTGATGCACGGCACTGCTTTGTTTCTACAGATTTGGTCTGATGACTTATCCTGGATAATTTGTGAACAGGATTATTTTGTGTAAGTGTGGTCATATATATGGTATATATGGCTGTTTTTGTTATAATTAGGTTCGTTTGTATTATGCAGTAGATGTATTTATAAAATATAAAATGTCTATAAAATGTTATATTAAAAAAAATTACTAGGTAGGTCAGGCCCAACCTGCATTCTACCCCAAATTCCACCCCTTATTAGGCTTTGAGATATGCAAGTGCCTCCCTCCGCCCCACCCAGTTTCACAGCAGGATAGGGATTAGAACCAGAGGTTATTTCGGGGGGGGGATCGTGGGGGATCGCCGTTCCCCTGGGTGAGGTGCGGGGGGCAGGGCACACGATGAAGCCCCGCCCCCTGCTTCCGGTCGCCCCGCTTCCAGCCCTCATTCAGCCAGGAGGAGGCAGGAGAAGAGGGAGGGTAAGTTGCTTCCTCCCCGCCTCTCCCCACCCCTGCCTGACTGGGGTCAGGGAGGGCCTTGGCGGGGCTTCCTCGCACTCCCTCTGGCCTCGCAGGTCCACCGCCGGGCCCCTGATGTCAGGGGGTGTGGCATATGCTAATGAGTTATGCTAATGAGTTCCCCTAGCTCTTTTTCTACGAAACGACCCCTGATTAGAACTCAGGCCTCCTAATCCCCATCCAACACTCTATCCACTGATGGAGCAGACGTGTAGTGGAATGAGGGGAGGGCTGGCTGTCCCTTCCCCTTGCCAGAGGATGTTCCCATTTTGCCCTGACTGGGGGGCGGGGTGGTCCTGTATTTTTTTACAGTCAAAAATTGGCAACCAAGACTTGAAAGGGTTTGGCAGGGAGAGGGGGGGTGTTTGATGAGGAAGATGCTTCATGCCCTGAGACCTTGCCAGCGTAGTGGTGGATGATGAATCCCGAACTCGATCCGTTGAAATGCTCGTGGGTTCCCACAGCCGACTGGAGCTTCTGCAGGAGCGTCTGGTCCGCACCTTCGCCCTTAGCATACACCGTGGCGCACACATCATCCAAAACACTCATGATGCCTGGAGGATTCTGGGAAAAGACCAGAGAGAATGGTGAGTCATGGCACGGCCACTCATGTTACAACTGTCAGGTTCTGTGGATTTGGGTCAGAAGTGTTTGTTCAGGAGAGGCACAAGAAAGTCCTACCATTAACCTGTGGAACTCACCGCCACAGGACGCAGCTATGGCAGCAGGTTTAGATGGCTTTAAAAGGGAATCAGATAACTTCATGAAGGAGCAGAGGTCTTTGAGCGGCTGTTCAGCCATGATAGTTAAATAGTACTTCCATGTTCAGTGGAAGTGTACCTCTGAATACCAGTGATTGGGGAGGTAACAGTATGAGGAGGCTTGGATCTTTGTTCCTTGCTAGTGGGCACCTGTTTGGCTACTATGGGAAACAAATATGCTCAGCTAAATGTACTTTTGGTCCAGTACAGTACTCTTTTAACTTCCTCAAGGAAGTTGTACATGCATGAAATTAAACTTCAGTGTGAAGAAATGCATTTTTCACTTTGAGTTTTAAAATGTTTTTCTCTCTGGGCAGAGAACAGGCAGGGAGAAAGCCGACAGGAGATGAAAAGTCTCTGGTTCGGGTTGGCTCATCTCAGAGAGATGAGGGGGTACCTGTTGCTTTTCTACAGGGAGGTGGATTGAAATTGTCCACTGAGACCATGGCTAGTGACATGGACTGCCTGACAAGGTCTCGAGATAGCAAGAGGAAGGTGGCAGGCTTAACCAGTATGGGAAATTACAGCTGTTTCTATACAAATACTCGAAGTGTCCGAGGTAAAATCGGGGAGTTGGAGTGCTTGGTGTCGGAGGGAAAAATAGACATTGTGGGTATTTCAGAAACTTGGTGGGATGAGGAAAATCAGTGGGATACGGTGATTCCCCGTTATATATTATATCGGAAGGATAGGGGGGGAAGGGTTGGAGGTGGGGTAGCTCTGTATGTCAGAGAGGGTATAAAGTCCAGAAAGATCGAGAGGCTAAGAGAATTGGATTCGCTTCTTGAAGTTCTGTGGGTTGAAATAGGGGGGCCAAAAGGAAACTTAACACTGGGAGTTTGTTATCGCCCACCGGATCAAAAGATAGAGGAGGATTATAAAATGATGAATGAATTAAAGATAGCAGCTAGACAAAAACACTGTGTCGTAATAGGTGATTTTAACTACCCACACATTGATTGGGTCAATATGTGTTCTAGTCGAGAGAAAGAGATTGAGTTTCTAGACACTCTAAATGACTGTGCTATGGAGCAGATGGTCATGGAACCTACCAGGGGAGAGGCGATCCTTGATTTGGTCCTAAGTAACACTCAAGACCTGGTGAGAGATGTAAAAGTGATTGCACCGCTTGGGAACAGTGATCATAATGTTGTTGAGTTCAACATTTGTACAAATAGGGAATTGGCCAAAAAGACTCACACAACCACTTTTAACTTTAAAAGGGGTAATTTTTCTGATATGAGGGGACATGTGGGGAGGAAACTGAAGGGAAAAGTAGAAAGGGTCAAAACCATTGGGGAAGCTTGGAAACTGTTTAAAACTACAATTCTAGAAGCTCAAATAAAATATATTCCGCAGGTTAGGAAAGGCACAAACAGGTATAAGAAAAAGCCTACATGGTTAACAAACAAAGTAATGGAAGCTGTAAAAGGTAAAAAGGATTCCTTTAAGCGGTGGAAAGCTAGTCACAGTGAGGCTGATAAAACAGAACACAGGCTATGGCAAATAAAATGCAAGTCTGTGGTCAGGCATGCAAAAAGGGAATATGAGGAGCATATAGCAAAAAATGTAAAGACCAACAATAAAACTTTCTTCAAATACATTAGAAACAGGAAACCAGCCAGGGAGGCAGTGGGGCCCTTGGATGACCAAGGGGTAAAAGGAGTACTGAAGGATGATAGGGAAATGGCTGAGAAGCTAAATGCATTTTTTGCCTCCGTCTTCACTGTGGAAGATGAGAGGTGCTTGCCCACTCCAGAGCCGCTGAGTTCGGGAGGGGTGTTGAAAGACCTGAGTCAGATTGAGGTGACGAGAGAGGAGGTCCTAAAACTGATAAACAACTTAAAAACTGATAAATCACCAGGCCCAGATGGCATACATCCAAGAGTTCTGAAAGAACTCAATTGTGAACTTGTGGATCTCCTGACAAAAATATGTAATCTCTCCTTAAAATCAGCCTCCATTCCTGAGGACTGGAAGGTAGCTAATGTCACTCCCATCTTTAAAAAGGGTTCCAGAGGAGATCCGGGAAATTACAGGCCTGTCAGTCTGACGTCGATACCGGGTAAATTGGTGGAAACCATTATTAAGGAAAGAATTAGTAGGCACATAGATGAACAAAACCTATTGAGGCAGACTCAACATGGGTTCTGTAAGGGAAGATCTTGTCTCACTAACCTGTTAATGTTCTTTGAGGGGGTGAACAAACATGTGGACAAGGGGGATCCAATAGATATTGTTTACCTTGACTTCCAGAAAGCTTTTGATAAAGTTCCTCATCAAAGGCTCCTAAGCAAGCTCAAAAATCATGGGATAAAAGGACAAGTCCTTTTATGGATCAAAAACTGGCTAATTAATAGAAAACAGAGAGTGAGTATAAATGGGCAGTTCTCCCAGTGGAGGGGTGTAAGCAGTGGGGTACCACAGGGATCAGTACTTGGTCCACTGCTTTTTAACTTGTTCATTAATGATTTGGAGTTGGGAGTAAGCAGTGAAGTGGCTAAATTTGCGGATGATACGAAGTTGTTCAGGGTGGTGAAAACCAGTGAGGATTGTGAGGCACTCCAAAGGGATCTGTCAAAGTTGGGCGAGTGGGCGTCAACATGGCAAATGGGGTTCAATGTGGCCAAGTGCAAGGTGATGCACATTGGAGCCAAAAATCCTAACTATAAATACACGTTGATGGGGTCTGAACTGGCAGAGACAGATCAAGAGAGAGATCTTGGAGTTGTAGTAGATAACTCACTGAAAATGTCGAGACAGTGTGTGACTGCAATAAAGAAGGCCAATGCTATGCTGGGGATTATTAGGAAGGGTATTGTAAACAGATCAGCCAATATCATAATGCCGCTATATAAATCAATGGTGCGACCTCATCTGGAATACTGTGTGCAATTCTGGTCACCACACCTTAAAAAGGATATTATAGCTTTGGAAAAAGTGCAGAAAAGAGCAACTCGAATGATAAAAGGGTTGGAACACTTTCCCTATGAGGAACGGTTAAGGCGCTTAGGGCTCTTTAGCTTGGAGAAACGACGACTGAGGGGTGACATGATTGAGGTTTATAAGATTATGCATGGGAAAGAGCAGGTAGAGAAAGAGGTACTTTTCTCCCTTTCTCACAATACAAGAACCCGTGGGCACTCCATGAAATTGCTGAGCGGTCGGGTTAGAACGGATAAAAGGAAGTACTTCTTCACCCAAAGAGTGATTAACACTTGGAATTCACTGCCACAGGAAGTGGTGGCAGCTACAAGCATGGACGGCTTCAAAAGGGAATTAGATAAGCATATGGAGCAGAGGTCCATCAGTGGCTATTAGCCACAAGGTATAGATAGGGACTCTGGGGCAAGTGATGCTCTGTCATCTTGGTGCTTGGGGGGGGGTCAACAGTGGGAGGGCTTCTAATGTCCTGGCCCCACTGGTGGACCTCCTGATGGCACTGGTATTTCTGGCCACTGTGGGATACAGAGTGTTGGACTGGATGGGCCTTTGGCCTGATCCAACATTGGCATCTCTTATGTTCTTATGAGAGGAGAACTCCGTTCAATTGCTAGCCAGCCTCACATTAGCCACCTTTTTAGAAATGCTAATAGGTCTAGTTAAAGGCAATGGGATGATCCAGTCCCCCCCTCCCAATCAGGGAACAGAGAGTTGGAGGTATTACATAATAGAAAGACTTCAGGAAGAAAGACTTCAGGAAAAGCTTCTTTGGCCCAGCCTGTCCTGGTCAGTAGGAGGAGAAAGAGGGATGATAAAACTCCTGGGAACAAAGAGGTAGAGCTCTTTTGTGCTGATCCCATCAAGGCAGGCAGAACTCTTAACTGAGGTCTGTGGGAGGCAGCCATTGCCATGTGCTGGCCTGCCCACCTGAAAGAGGCTTCAAAGTCATGGGAACTCTGTAGAACATCTGGTAACTCTCCATGCCAAGGAGCCTGCCCTCTATTTAACAGTAGATAGGGAATGTATGGGGGGAGGGACAGAGGAATTGCGTTTCACCCTTTTCTTTTGGCTCCCTTGTTCCACCTGGTGCTGTGCTAAAAGTATGCTTGTGAACATTTTCTTTTTTAAATAAATGCTTTTTAGCTTTAGATCCTGGTGGTGGTTCTCTGTGCCACACAGACCTCCACCATCTTGGACACCCTAATTTAAAAGGAGCACCAGGAGGAAGGGGAGGGCAGTCAGATGGCAAACAGCTACTGCCCCAGTGGTGGACAAGGCATCAAGCGGTCCCCGTGGTAACTAGGCACTGGGTAGCGGGAGACACAGAGGTGAGGCCTCAACACTTGGAAAGAGAAGCTGGGAGTCCTGACCCTCCCAGTGGGCAATTTCTACAAAGGTCAGGTTCTGGCAGCGATTGACCAGAGAGAGAGAGAAAAGCCCTTCCAGGTGTTGGGAAAATCCAGGAGGGCAGAGTGAAACAGGGCCTACAGGTCAGAGCAGAACTGTTCTGCCCCACTCAGTAAAAGTGGTATATTCATCAGCGCATTTGCACTTGAAGCCCATTTTCCAAACATTTTGCAGTGCTCCACAGTAGTTGATGCCTTTTACAGTTCTGCAGGGCCTGCAAGACGGAGCTCTTCCACCAGGCTTTCAACTAGGAGCTGCCACCGCTACCACTATGGCCAGTATTACCATCTATGATTATTAATACCACCAACTCAATAACAACAGAAGCCTGATGCTCGGTCTAGTACTGATAGCCTGTCCTCGCCGACCAAAACTGAGAAAGACCAACAAGCTGAATATCAAGTGAACCTACAGAATGTACGAGGCCATCTTTGATATTGTAAGTTAACTGCTAGCACTTTAATATAATGTAAGTTAGTTTTTAATGAATTGCTATTGAATTGTTTGATTAATTGTTTTTAGATGTCCATGATTCTATTGTTATTGTGCTTTTATGAGGTCAGCCGCCCTGAGCCTGCCTTGGCGGGGTGGGCAGGGTACAAATTCAAATAATAAATAATACATAAATAATAAATAAATAGTTTTGTGACACCTTCCAAAGGGCCCCACCCTTGTGTTTGGCATACATCTGCTCCCTTATGCAGCCAACTTCCAAAGTTTTGTATGACCAAGGACTGGCCCTTCCTTACCACCTTGTTTTCAATGAGGTCACAGACAACCTTGTTGTTGAAATACTCAATGGGGGTCCACTTGATACCTTCCTGCACGTATTCTTCCTAAAGCAAAAACAAAAATATCAGGATGTCCTGGAACCCTCTCCAAAGGATATATTATCATTTTGCAAAAGAAGTCTGACTAGGAAAGAAGATGGGGCAATGGTTGATCACCTTACTTGCTATAAAAATACATACACACCCTTTGGGTCAGAAGTGTTTGTTCAGGGCAGACAGCAGGAAGTCCTGCAATTAAGCTATGGAACTCACTGCCACCTGACACAGGAATGGCTGCAGATTTAGATGGATTTAAAAGGAAATTAGACAAAATCATGAAGCAGCAGAGGACAAATTCATGAAGCAACCAAGATAGTTATGCCTCACTCGGTGGAACATATAAAGCTGCCTTAGTCTGGTTCAGAGTGACTCCAATGTTCCCTCTAAGCTGAGTTAATGTGAGTCAGCTCACAGTTTTTTAGCCTCTGACTCACACATTTTTGTCTGGGCTCAGGAAGGATGGCTCCAGAGCAAACTAATTGATGCAGTAGCCCAATCGCTTGCTCACAACTTTAATGCCAGGAGCTCACAAAGTAGAATTTGTGCTCACAGGACTCAACAGCTTAGAAGGGAGCATTGGTTCAGACTCCTGCTTCATCTAGCTCAGTGCTTTGCTGCAACTGGCAGTGGCTATCCAGGGAGGCAGGGAGAGAAAAGTCTTTCCCTGCATCTCCTTTAGGATGCTGAGGACTGAACCAAAGATTTTCTTCATGCAAAGCAGAGACCTGAACCCTGAGCTAAGGAGTATCACCCATGCATCTGCTGTCCACACAAGTGTGTGTGAAGGCAATAACTGAGTTAACATTTTCTTTAGAAGCATATTTTATTTATTTGATTCATTCATACCCTGCCTTCCTCCCCCATGAAGACCCAAAGCTGCTTCCATCATTCTCCTCTTCTCCAGTTTATTACATCACTCTCCTTCATTTTATCGTCACAACAGGCCTGCGAGGTAGGTTAGATAGAGAGTGTGAGACTGGCCCAAGGTCACCCAGCAAGCTTCCATGGCAGAGTGGGGATTCAAACCTGGGCCTCCCAGATCCTAGTCCAACGTTCTAACCACTACACAACATAATATTGCTAAGGATTTTTAAAATGCTGTGGCGAAAGGACCTCCACTCTAGTATCCACCCCAGCATTTCATTAAGTGGGGCTACACTCTACACATGCTCCAGAGGGTGCCTTGCTAGTAAACGTCTGGCAAAAGGAGATGTCATCTCACCCCCCCCCCCAATACTCTCCAGCTGTTAGAAGGGCAAATGGATCTGGCCAAAGGAAGGACAAAAGGTTTACCATCTCATACATTGCTGGAATGTCACACCTAAATGGGACAGTCTGTGCAAACAAATAGCTAGACAGTAATTTCTTTCTCTCATGACAGGAAACCAGAACAATGCCAGAGGGGGACTGAATCTCAAAAAGGTGACGATAAATTCTCAGGACAGAAATAGGAAGGTCTCTTCTCTTTATTCAGCTTCCTTGGACAGGCACAAGCCATGAAGGACTAAACCTTTACTTGAGGATCCCATCTTGTTCATATGGCAAGGGACAACGGGGAGAAATCCCAACTTTGAGAATTAAGGTAATGATGTTGTTTTCAATGCTGGAACTGTGAGAATTACTAGTCTATCCTAATCTTCCTTTAGAAGAAAATTCCTTTAGAATAATTATGGAATGTATGGTGTTTTCACCTTCTCTTTGTACCCTTGCTCAGCCCGAATTCTTGGACAGACAGTGTGTATTCTTTTTATTTATTTATTGAAACTTTATTATATTTTGAATGGTTGAATCCAGGTCTCTGGAATCATAGGCCACGGTCACACGGGCCGGATATCACGGGGGGGAGGCGTGGCTAATTGCCCCGGCGCAGTTTGATCCGCGATTACGCGATCAGACGCGCCGACGGCACACCATGGGTCTTTCCCTCAGCGCCGACAGGTAAACGAGGGACCGGAGGGGAATGCCGTGCGCCGGCGCAATCACACCACGGGAGTCTGAAGGCAGCCCGTGGCAAATGTTTACTAGTACTTTGGAGGTACTAGTTTTTTAACGCGCATTTTCAGCGGTAAGCCACGGGTGCACTCCACTTCCCAGATGTTGGGGTGTGATCGCGCCCGGATAATCCGCCCACCATCCGTGCCTCTCCCGCGGCAACTTTGCCGTGTGACCGGGGCCATACCATGCCTATTCGGTCTTGCTGTCTAAGGTGTGGTAATGGGGAAGGGCAGCAGGGCAGCTTGCCATCCCCAGAACATCATGTGGAAATTACAAAAGTTACAATTGATCGTTCCTGGGTCAGCTTGTAGAAGTGAAGCATTAGATATGGCAACTAGGTAGAGCCTTTAACTGGCAACGCAGATACAGAGTGGTAGATGTGTAAATTCGCCTCCCAGCAGTTTACTACACACAGAGAGTTTCGTACCCACCTTAGGAGTAAAGGAAAGGAGAGCAGAGGTCATTTCGGGGGGGATCGCGGGGGATCGCAGTTCCCCCGGGTGAGGTGTGTGGGGGGCACATGACGAAGTCACACCCCCTGCTTCCGGCCGCCCCACTTCCGGCCCTCATTCAGCCAGGAGGAGGCAGGAGAAGAGGGAGGGTAAGTTGCTTCCTCCCCGCCTCTCCCCACCCCTGCCTGCCTGGGGCCAGGGAGGGCCTTGGCGGGGCTTCCTCACACTCCCGCCGGACTTGCAGGTCCACCACCGGGCCTTATGATGTCAGGGGGTGTGGCATATGCTAATGAGTTATGCTAATGAGTTCCCCTAGCTCTTTTTCTATGAAATGACCCCTGAAGGAGAGACATTGCCAAGCAGATATTTGGGTTGGCCATATGGTGTTTTTGACCTCCTGGGACTCAAGGGAAACCGGGCTTGTGAGCCCATTCCTTCCCAATGCAATTCCTTCTCCCTTCTCCATAACCATTCAGTATCCCCACTGCACACTGTAGACCTCACCTGCTCTGCTTTGAGGGTCAGCTCAATGAAAATCTGTTGAAGTTTTTCATTCACAAAATTGATGCAGAATTGTTCAAAGCCATTTCTCTGAAACGAGGAGGGAAAAGAGGGAGACATGTAATGGGAGATTTTTTTGGCAAAGTTGTATTTTTTTCAATAAGAACGTGCGGTAGAAGATTATAAAATTTTGGCTGGTGTAGATGATGGGATTTCCTCCCCTCCCTTTCCCAAAATGTTAGAACTCAAGGGTACCTGATGTAGCTGATAGACAGTTGACTGAAGGTGGACAAAAGGAAGTCCTTCATACAATGCACAATTAAACATTGGCATTCACTGCCACTTGACAACTTTATTAGGGATGAGGTAATTAGCCATGAGGGCTAAACGGAACCTCCATGTTTAGAGGTACTGTACATCTGTAGTGTCTCAAATGTTAATCGCTGGCTTCGGCTGTAAATAAAACTTTATCCTTTTACCAACCAGTGAGAACAAGAAGAGGGCTATGGCCTCTGTTCCCCCCACTGTGGACCTTCTGGGCCATTTGGTTGATGACTGTAGGATACGGGATTCTGAACTGAATGGATCCTGTGGTCTGACCCAGAAGGACTCCTTTTTGATATTCTTAAGATATTGATTTTCAGCTTTGACCTTTCCAGTTCAGCACTTAGAAAGAGCACAGCGGGGCTGAGTTTGTGATGGAAATGGCCAAAGCCATGCAGGAGTCTGTCTATTTCTGTAAACTGGAGCAGAGCCAACATTTTATCAGTATATTATTGCTGTTTTATTTATTTATTGCTGTTGATATGCCCCAATGACTTAGACTGTGAACAAACTGACTAGTTGCACATTTTTTCTGAGCTACTAGTCCCATTATCAGTCTTTGGAGAATGAGGAACCTACCTGAAATATTTCAAACCCATAAATGTCCAGCACACCCACGCTATACTCTTCGTTTGGCTTCCGCATGGCTTTATTGATAGACTGCAGATGGAGAAGATCAGAGCATTGAGCGTTGAGAAGAAAGAATCAAGGAAGGTTATCTTCAGGTATTAGGTACTGTGAGGCCACACAGTTAACACTGAAGGGAAAAAACCAACAACCCACAGAGCCGGAAACAATAAATTGGCTATCGTCCTGTCTCAAAAAAACCCCTGTGACCTCTTTAGAGTTGGCATTCAAAGAACAACAGAGTTGAAACTGGTAAATCATATAGTCCAATGCTCTTAGAGTCTTATACTGCTCCCCTCGTTCAAAAAACACAGAGAAGAGAGACGAGAGATTGGATTTATAATCCACCCTTCACTACCCAAAGGAGTCTCAGAGTGGCTTACAATACCTTTCCCTTCCCCTCCCCACAACAGACACCCTGTGAGGTAGGTGGGGCTGAGAGAACTCTTTCGAGGACTGCTCCTGAGAGAACAGCTCTGAAAGAACTTGTGACTCACCCAAGGTCACACCAGCAGCTGCATGTGGAGGAGCGGGGAATCAATCCCAGTTCTCCCAGATTAGAGTCCGCCACTCCTAACCACTACACCAAACTGTTTGTTTGGAGGCAAAAGACAAATGACCATCTTGTTGAATGTGCTCAGACGAATCCAGAAGCTTTCTAGAGTCCTCTTCAGAAAAACTGAGACGAGAATTGTGCTCTCTGATTCTTTCCCCAAATCCCCACCCACCCCTAAAGATGTTCTAGAATTCCACAAAAGAGTCCGCTTACCTCCACAAGGAAGTCAAAGACACGAGAGTAGAGGCCCTTGGCAAGGGCATCACGGGTATAGGAAGCTTGCTCAACATTGAGAGTTACATGGATGGACTCCGACCGGCCTCCCCATTTGCTGTCCATCTTCCTGCTCGTCAACTTCTCCTCAAGGCGGGTCTGGTCAATCCCCAAGAGGTAGGCAGGAAAAGCGAGCGCTGGAACAGAGGGAAATCAACAACGGAGTCTCTCCCATGTGGTGTTTATTATCATGAACATTTGTGTCAGTACCTTACTGTTCCTCCAGGTTTGGAGTAAAATATATCGCATTCATCTCAAAAAAAGGTCCTGTGAGTTAGATTACAGTGAGGGAAAGCTACCGGCCCAAGGTCTCTCAGTGTGCTTCAGGGCAGAGTGGGGACTTCTACCTGTGTCTCCCTAGCCCTACTCCGACCACACAACCCCAGCTGATGAGAAGTCATTTTTTGTCATGTTGTTGTTGTTCAGTCGCACAGTCGAGTCCGACTCTTCGCGACCCCATGGACCAGATCACGCCAGGCCTTCCTGTCTTCCACCGTCCTCTGAAGTTGGCTCAACTTCATGTTCGTTGCATCTATGACACTGTCTAACCATCTCATCCTTTGCCGTCCCCGTCTTCTTTGACCTTCAGTCTTTCCCAGCATCAGGGTCTTCTCCAGTGAGTGCTCCCTTCTCATTTGGTGGCCAAAGTATTTGAGCTTCAGTTTCATTATCTGGCCTTCCAGGGAACAGTCAGGGTTGATTTCTTTGAGGATTGACTGATTTGTTCTTCTTGCAGTCCAAGGGACTCTCAAGAGTCTCCTCCAGCACCATAGTTCAAAAGAATCTATTCTTCGGCGCTCGGCCTTCCTTATAGTCCAACTCTCACAGCCATACATGACTACTGGGAATACCATTGCTTTGACCATGCGGACTTTTGTTGGCAGGGTGATGTCTCTACTTTTTATCATGCTGTTTAGGTTCGCCATCGCTTTCCTCCCAAGGAGCAGGCGTCTTTTAATTTCATGGCTGCAGTCACAGTCTGCGGTGATTTGATGACTAGGGAGCCATGTTATCCGGTTCTAACTGTTGCTTCTTGACCCTTATACAGGTTTCTCAAGAGACATGTGAGGTCCATCACTTCCTGAAGGTCTCTTATAACAAGCCGGTTCACCTTTGTCATTGTGTTTTGGGGGAAAGGGGTTCAAATCCTGCTTGGGCACCCTTGGAATTCTGAGAGAGGGTGGTACTTTTATGTCTCAGTCAGAGAAACAATTAGAAGATTTCATAGCTGTATGGTACCCTGTGACAGAATATCTAAAGGAACATAAGGTTATTCCTAAAAACAAGTATTACAAATAATTAATTTTCTTCTGAATCTGTATAAAGAGTTAAACTTTTGTGCGGCTATCCTCTGTGTCAGAGGTGTCAAACTCATTTGTCATGAGGGCCTGATCTGACATAAATGTCACTTTGTTGGGCCGGGACATGTGTGCTATAGAATGTAATGACCGTTTACCAGAGATAGAAACTGTATAAAGGACAGCAGCTGGTGTATCCTCACTGCAAGGCCCCATGGGCTGGGAGCGGGGTGCAAAGGAAAACCCACACAGGCAGATTGGAGAGGCAGCAGTGCAGTGCTGGGCAGACGCCCCCACGATGCTTGACTGCTGCAGACGAGGTTGTTCTGCCATGCTGAAGCCACAGTGGAGTGGCTCCGCCCACTCCCCCCCAGCACTTCGTTTCTTGCACCAGTTGCTCGCGGGCCGCATAAGAGACCTGGATGGGCCAGATCCGGCCCCCGGGCCTTATGTTTGACATCCCTGTTCTGTGTTAATAGACTATATATAATGTGGAAATTGTAACGTTGCCAAATACTGTGATAATAAGACCGCTCAGATTCCTTTTATGTTTATTATGTTAAAATGTTACGTTATAGTTGGATATATGCTATTTATCCTAAATTAATAAAAATTATTTTAAAACAACAACACTGTGGCAGCAGTTGTCACCAAAACAATGTTATTTTAAACTGCACAGCCAATCAGAAGCCTTGCTGGGCAGGAGCACCACCTGGCCCCGCCCACTTTATAAACACCTGATCGACGGCCAGGAAAGATGGCAGTGGGGACCACGGTGCCCACAGGCGCCATGTTGGGGACCCCTGGGTTAGCCCGATATGATTACTCACAGTCAGGAGTCTCCACCTGGGCATAGTTGCCTTGCTCCTGGAATCCGATATTGCCGAGATGAAGGATGCCGGCCACAATCTGTAGCACAAGCTGCTGATCTTGACCCGAGATGCCAATCACGTCCATAGCGTTCTGGTTGAGGTGGGTAAGGAGGGGAAGCCCAGAAGAGAAGAAAGAGAGAAAGATGGTCCTGAAGTATGAATCCCAGGTGTGATGGCCAAGTGTTTGCCTCGCAAATCCTGTCTGCTCACCATAGTATCCTGAAACTCGCTTCGGTCGTCCGTGCCATCGACTTTATACGTTTCCGACTGGTTTAGGTAATAGTAATAGTCGGGATTCATGAGCCCCAGGTTTTGTTTCTGCTGCTGCGAGGCTCCTTCAATGAGCTGTTAAGAAAAGAGGGAAGGGCCTTGACTCAGCAGGTAGAGAGTCTGCTTGGCATGCAGAAGGTCCTGGGTTCAATTCCCAAGAGCTGCCGTGAAAAAGGTCTCATGTGGTAGCTGTCGGTGGGGTTACCGGGCAGTAGCAACTGGCGGGAGGGTTGGTGGGGGACAGTGTCCTGGGAGAAAAATCAAAAAGAAAAAGAAGGCCTCATCTACTTAGCAGAAGTTCTGACAATGGTAAAATTACCATAGAGTTTCTGGCAATTGCTTCACTTCCAAGTAGCTCTAGGAATTTTCAGGAACTCTACGGTCAGGGCTTCCTGCAAGTAGATGAGGCCTTCTTTTTCTTTTTGGTTCTTCCCTCCAGGACGATTGCACCTGCCCCTTTCGCCTCAGGTTGGCCCACCACTCAGTTGACCATTGGTGGTAGGGTTGCCAAGTCGGGTGTTGCTCCGTAGCGGGGGACTCCTGGCTAGCGTCTGGAGGAAAACCATAGAGTTTTCCCTCGAATGACCGTGGCCCCGCCCCCAGCGTGCCTGGTGTGGTCGCGTCACTTCCGGGTGACGCGCACATTGGGGTGGGGCTCCCCCCGGGGCCCGATCCACCGCTGGCGGGGAACGGGCCTCTGGGGTTGGGGTTTCCCCGCCCCCTCGGGGGGACTTGGCAAGCCTAATTGGTGGGCAAAGGCTGCAACTGGCCTAGATGTCAGAGAAGACCTTTCTGTGCCTGAGACCCTGGAGAGCTGCTGCCAGACAGAGTAGACAATACGGACCTTGACAGACCGCGGGGCTGGCAGTTTAAGGCAACATGTGTATTTGTGCCCAGAGGATGTTGGCGGGAGGGTTTAAACAGCAAAACAAACAAACAAACAAAAAGCCTCTCATAAGTGTTGAGGGAAGAGCATCCCAAAAAACCCAAATAAGCTTAATGAGGAATTATTTATTCACACAATCATTAGGAAGATCTTGGGGGCAGACTTAGAACAGGTGCAATGAAACGACAAAATTTCTTGTCTGTGTCTGCTAAACTAGGAAGTATTTGAGTGGGATCCAGCAGTCTGTCAGTGCGAGGTGCCAATGGACATGGACCAGGGGTCGTTCCGTAGAAAAAGAGCTAGGGGAACTCATTAGCATAACTCATTAGCATATGCCACACCCCCTGACATCAGGGGCCCGGCGGTGGACCTGCAAGGCCGGCGGGAGTGCGAGGAAGCCCCGCCAAGGCCCTCCCTGGCCCCAGGCAGGCAGGGGTGGGGAGAGGCGGGGAGGAAGCAACTTACCCTCCCTCTTCTTCTGCCTCCTCCTGACTGAATGAGGGCCGGAAGTGGGGCGGCTGGAAGAAGGGGGCGGGGCTTCATCGTGTGCCCCGCCCCCCGCACCTCACCCGGGGGAACTACGACCCCCCACGATCTGCCCCGAAATGACCTCTGACATGGACCTTTCCTGATCCCCCCCCTCCCGCAGTAGTCTCTTCCAACCTTGAGAAAGTTGATTCCCCCAGGGTCACAAGTCTGGGCTAATTGCCATTTGGGATGGGGGATAGCATTGAAGATGGGGAAGAGGATGAAATTGCCCTGCCGCCTCAATAAGATTATCAGGTCGATTTACCTGGCCGGGGGGGGGGTGTCTCGCAGGGGTGGGGAGAGGCAGGGAGAAAGCAACTTACCCTCCCTCTTCTTCTGCCTCCTCCTGACTGAATGAGGGCCGGAAGTGGGGCGGCTGGAAGAAGGGGGCGGGGCTTCATCGTGTGCCCCGCCCCCCGCACCTCACCCGGGGGAACTACGACCCCCCACGATCTGCCCCGAAATGACCTCTGACATGGACCTTTCCTGATCCCCCCCCTCCCGCAGTAGTCTCTTCCAACCTTGAGAAAGTTGATTCCCCCAGGGTCACAAGTCTGGGCTAATTGCCATTTGGGATGGGGGATAGCATTGAAGATGGAGAAGAGGATGAAATTGCCCTGCCGCCTCATTAGGATTACCAGGTCGACTTACCTGGCCAGTGGGGGTCTCCTGATGTCCTTCCGGGAGACCGAATGTTGGGCATTTTCAAGCCTAACTCCAGTTTTGGGCCTACTTCTGGTTTTGGGCCTACTCCCAGTTACAGTGACACTCTGATTGTGTTGCAAAACTCTATAGTAAATTCCACTTCGAACCATAGAGTTTTGCTCAACAACCAGAGCATTGCCCCCAACCAGAAGTAGGCCTGAAACCGGAAGTAGACCCAAAACTGGAAGTAGGCCCAAAAAAGGTCAGTTGGGGTGGGATTTCCCTCCCCGGATAGCTGGCCAGTGGCAGGCAAGAGCCTGTGAGAAAAGTGCCTTGTTGGATTATTTTGTTATTTGATTTATATACCATCCTCCCCCCAGTTTGGGGTTCAGGGTGGTTAACGACAACTATAAATACAATAAATATATATATACAGAATAAAATTTTAAAACAGTAAAAGCAGCAATATGTGTGTTTTTTGTATTTGAAATATTTATTTATCATTTTCCACTAAATACATCCTTTACAAACAATAATCATTCTATACATTGAGTCTAAAGTTTCTATATTTTGTTAATCCAGTTATACAGGCTGGGAGACCGAATGTTGGGCATTTTCAAGCCTAACTCCAGTTTTGGGCCTACTTCCGGTTTTGGGCCTACTCCCAGTCACAGTGACACTCTGATTGTGTTGCAAAACTCTATAGTAAATTCCACTTCGAACCATAGAGTTTTGCTCAACAACCAGAGCATTGCCCCCAACCAGAAGTAGGCCTGAAACCGGAAGTAGACCCAAAACTGGAAGTAGGCCCAAAAAAGGTCAGTTGGGGTGGGATTTCCCTCCCCGGATAGCTGGCCAGTGGCAGGCAAGAGCCTGTGAGAAAAGTGCCTTGTTGGATTATTTAGTTATTTGATTTATATACCATCCTCCCCCCAGTTTGGGGTTCAGGGTGGTTAACGACAACTATAAATACAATAAATATATATATACACACACACACTCAGGTTAAAAACTTAAAACAATAAAATAGCAATAATTAAGTCTCATCAGGTGGCGTCTGAGCATTTATCGGGAGACCAATACCATCGATGGAAAACTTTATATATATTTTCTTTATCGTTATATGCTCTCATATACTTCAACGTTTGCCACGTGTTTGCCCAGTGTTCTATCGTATGACCTATGTCCTGCATCCATACTATCATTGTTGAGGTAACCCTTTCATCTAATAGATACTCTTCTACTAAAAAACTATATATTTTCTGAATCATTTCATCGACAAAGCAGCAATATGTGGACCCTGATCAGGTCGAAAAGTAGCATAAGATGTTTTGCATAAATAAATAAAAAATTGGGGTGGAGCCTGGGGAAAGTGGGGTTTGGGGAGGAGAGGGGCCCTCAGTTGGAGGTAATGACGTAAAGTCCACCCTCCAGAACAGCCATTTTCTCCAGAGGAACTCATCTCCATAGTCTGGCGATTAGTTGCAATTTTGAAGGATCACCGGACCTAGGGTTGCCAAGTGGCACTTACCTTCCCGGCGGGGGACTCCCGTGCGGATCCCGGTGCACTGCATGCACGTCACAGGGAAGTGACGCCATGACGCCGGGCACGCTGGGGCCCTTGTACGGCCGTGGCCCCGCCCCCAGCGTGCCCGGTGTCATAACGTCACCTCCCTGTGACGTGCATGCTGGGGCGGGGTTCCCCCCGGGGCCCAATTCCCCGGGGTTGGGGAATGGGCCTCTGGGGCGGGGGGATTTCGCCCCCCCGGGGGGACTTGGCAGCCCTAACCGGACCTCACCTGGAGGCTAGCAATTCTTTGCATCGTGGAGTTGGAAGCACCCAGTGACTGGTTGTGACTGGTGTCAATCCCCAGTTGGGGGTAGGGAATCCCCTGGTTTGGAGCCCTTCTCCCCACTTTAGGGCTGTCAGAAAGCAGTGGTGAAATGCCTGCTGGGTGCTCCATTATACTCTATGGAGACTGGTCCCTATAGGGTATAATGGAGAATTGATCCATGTGTATCTGGGGCTCTGGGGGGGGGTGTTTTTTGAGGTAGAGGAACCAAATTTTCAGCATAGCTGGTGGTGCCTCACCTGAAAAAAACAACAACCCAAATTTCAAAAAGATTGGACCAGGTGGTCCAACCTTTTGAACCCCAAAAGGAGGCGCCCCCATCCTCCATTATTTCCACTGGTCCCTTTAAATTTGATGGCCAGAACTCCCTTCGAAGTTTAATCGCCTAGTGACATCACAAAAATGATGTCACATCCTTCCTCCTGGCTCCACTCCCGAAGTCTCCTGGCTCCAACCCCAAAGTCCCCAGATATTTCCTGAGTCAGACCTGGCAACCCCAGTGGTGAGCCCATCTCCAGCTTCTAGCAAGAGCCTGGCCGTGCGCAATGGTGGTGCCAATCGTGCGCTCAGTGGCACATGACTCAAGCATGCCTCCAAGTGGTTCCCAAGCTCATTTCTCATGTGCCACTGGCTCTCATACCTGATAGTAAACGTGAAAGTTCCTCTCGCTCTCGTTCTGGCTTACCACCCGGGATTTTTCCAACAGGAAGTTGGAGATCTTCCCTCCGTCTGGCTCACCTCCTCGACTGAACTGAATCTCAAAGTACTTCCCCTGGTGGGAGACAATGGCAATATAAGAATTAATTATATTAATGGGTTTTAATTGTTCATGCTTTTTGTTGTTACCCGCCCTGAGCCTGTCTTGGGAAGAGCAGGATATAAAGATAACTAATAAAATTAGTTCATTAGAAACTCTTGTAGGATCGCAGTTTGTGTCAATTATGAATCGTGCAGTGCTTTTGGATCTTCAGCTGACCCCCCAAGAGCTTTATGGATGCTTTGCTGATCAACAGCTGGATTGTCCACGAACGGGGCATGCTGCAGATCCCTAAGTGTGCGCCTCTGAGATACACTCAGATTAAAAAGATGATTAAAATCCTGCACCTGGGGAAACCCAAACTGCATGCAAAGAAAAGCTGCATCATGTAGCCTGTAAATTTGTGCAAATTAAGCACATTGGCATGATTGTTCTGATTTGGCAGAGGTTCTTCTGCTCCATGTGGGGGAAACGGGCATGGAAGCCTCACTCATAACTTCTGGAAATCCCGTTCAGGCAGTCTGAGTTCAGCA